TACCAGTGAACTCAATGAGAGAAAAAAATTGATACATAAAAAAATTATCATTTAAAAAAATCTCAATGTGATTAATATTTTAGACCAAATAAATCTTTGTTATATAGAGGAGTGGGCACTGTGTGGATTATTAGCAGCCATAACTCTTCCTCTAGTTGAAATCATGAAAAATGCCTCCAGTCCTTGAGAAATTTCCTCTGGAGGGCAAAATTCTCCCTGCTTGAGAACTATGAGTTAAGGCTACATATCTAAACAATGGGAAAACCTAAGTCTGAACCCAGGTCTCATTACTCCAAATCCCCAACATACAGGAGACTAAATAATGTTAATCTTCATTCTTTTTCCTTGCTCCTAGCTCCACTACACAAAGCTCTCTGTGTAAAGCTAAGTAAGTCATAGCTCCGGACCCAAAGGAAGACTAGGAGAGAATTAACAAGTGAGTGTGTCACAGTCAGTGTGTCACAAGTCAGTGTGTAATGTAAATCTTTTGGAAGAAGTCATATTTCTGAAGCACCTCCTGAGACCTGTAGTTTGAAGGGCATCCTAGTCGGTCTATTTGAATTGGGATTGAAGCTCGGGTGAAGATTGTCGTCCCCCAAACGGCAGTTTTCTTCCTTCTCTAGAAATAGAGCTAGCACAGGAATTCTCCAAATAGAGAACAGTTGGGGCCAAGAGAAGTAGGACTTTAGTGGAGGAGGCATTAAGATCTATTTTGCCTTTTCATGTCTTATTATTATTATCATCATCATTATTTTTGTACCAGGGATTGAACTGTGGTCCTTGCCCTTGAGAGGCAGGTTGCAGCACCACTGAGCTAAATCCCTGGCCCTCCATATCTGTTGTTATTAGTAGTATTACTAGTAATATTAGTATTAGTGGGTTTTTTTTTTTTTTTTACTTCCACCTATCTGGGCTGCTAGCATGAGGAACCAGCTACCTTCTGTGAGCCTTCACTACCACCCAAATGATTTCTTGGATAAAGTACTGTTCATTTTCATAGCTTATTTTCAGCATTCTTCATTCTCTTTCCCTACTAGTAGCAACTTGTGGCAGAGTGTTGTTACTGGGTAGGCTTTATTATGGCTTACAGCAGTATGCATATACAACTTTTAAAATTTATGCCTCTGCCAGAATGATTGTTCAGAAACAAGTCTTCTGAAACTGTTAATCAGATAGAACTGCTCATGCTATTTGAGAGATGTTTACTATCACTTATTATTGAGGCTAGACCAAAGAGCCTGGGAAATAATCCTTTGGTTGGTATTTAAAACCAAACCAAAACAAAACGTGGTATCTTTTTCTCTCTTCCATTAAGATTGTGGCTTTTGTTATGAATTCTGGTAATAAATTACTTCATTAAAGTCCTGTAGTTTGTGATGTTCCTTGGCAAGAAAATGTTGAAAGTATTTTACTGTTATGGCAAATTTCACACTAAGCCATATTTCAAAAAGTCATTAGTAAGAGTTCTGGAAAAAGAACAGTCACCATCAAGTGATATGCTACCAAAAGATGGATTGCTACTATTTTCGATGATTTAGTTGTGCCAATTATATGGGCTTTTTATGAGTTATGTCCTATGTGATTTCCAGTAAAACTTTGATTTTAAATATAAACAACATTTACTTAAACATTTAATTTACTCCTAATGTAAACACACAATTCTGTGTTTCTCTTTTTAAATATTAGAAATTGTCTATATATAGGAATATTTTTCATTGAATTAAGCGAAATAAATTTCATTCCAGCTTTAATGTGACAGTGTTTTTATTTGCTGCTTGATGAAAAAGTAATTAGTTATGAAATGAAGCATAGACTATAATAGATTATTCTAAGTGAAGCATTTCAACTACTCTCCTGGTTTTTGCAAGAATGCTTAGCACTTTTAAATGAGTTTTCATTGCTTACAAATATTGTCAACTGTTAAGGTAAAAGGAAGTAATATTTTAGGAAATTCACTATAAGGGTAGTCCAAAGTTCATTTGTTTAACTTTTAAATTATTTTGAAATTTGTTTTGGGATATTGACATTTCTGAAATAGATACATCCTGTAATTGTGTAATATAGTTAACTTATACAGTAATATTTTTGTCTTCAAATAAATTGAAAAATTTCCACTTGTTTATTCCTGTTCAAGGCCTTCCTGATTCCTGATTTCTTTTCACTAATCTGTGGTGGTAATGGATTATTATAACCTCTCAGATTAGTTTGGAAACCCTTGATTGGGGGGGGGTAAGGTGTATATGGGGGTAGGCTTAGTCTGCAGCCAGAAGGCTTGTTTTTTTTCCTTCTCTTCTTGTGGTTAGTTTTTTTCCTTTTTTATAATATAACATTTATTGGTATATTTTAGGCATACATAATGACAACATTCATCATAGGAAATCTATTTATTTATTTATTTATTTTTGAGACAGGATCTCACTACGTAGTGGAGACTGCCCTGGAACTCACTATGTTGACCAGGCTGGTCTTGAACTCACAGCGATCCTCATGCCTCAGGCTCCAGAGTGCTGGGATTACAGTCGTGCACTACCACACCTGGCTTGTTTGGTTTTAATATAAGAAATACTTTGCTTGTTTATAAAAGAAAGAACATAAAATTTCATATGTTTCATTAAAATAGTTTGCAGAATAATTCATGAATTTGCTACAGGCATGCATTTTAGTATAATTAATTTGTTCTTGGCCAATGAAGATCTGAATAAACAATGAAATGTCTTCTTTAAATGATCACTGTGACTTCTTTTGGTTTGTTTGTTTGCTTGTTTGTTTTTGTTTTTGTTGAGACAGGGTCTTGCTATGTAATTCAGGCTGTCCTTGAACTCACAGCAATCTTCCTGCCTCAGCCTCCGGAGAGCTGGGGCCACCATGCCCGGCATGTGACTTCCTACATTCTAATGTATGCATCCCTCTTCACTATTCCTCAAGTTTTCTGTTTGTACTCTTGTCTGCTATAGCATTAGTTGTACTGAATTAGAGTCATGAGTGTCTGTTTCTTAACCCATGTACTTCTTGGGAGGAGGGATGAGTTTAATTTCACCTAGCACCTGTATAATCCTGCTTTAATGAGTGCTTATTGAAACAGTGAATTAGCGAATGACTCTTCCTCCTCTTTCTTTTCCTCATCCTCTTTTTTTCTTGTCCTCCTTCTCTTCTTCTCTGCTTTATCTTCTTTCAGACCACTATGATAGAGCTACACCTTCCCCCCTTTTTTTTCATTAAGTTTTTTGGTACATTAAAAGCAAACAATACAGTTACATTTATCATTCGGATCTTGTACCTTTACATGATATATCTTGGTTCTTGTTTTTTCTCCATACCCCTGCCCTCCCTCCTCACCCCCACCTTTTTGATACAGGGTCTGGCTAAGTCTCTTGTTGCCTAAGCTGGACTCAAACTTGGGGTCTTCCTGCTTCTACCTCCCAAAGTGCTGGGGTTGCAGCTGTGTACCCCTGTGGCTGGCTTGAGTTTCTTATTTGTGCCCTTTTAGAGCAGGTTTAACTTTTAAGGGCTAAAAAGTACATAGCTACCTTGTGACAGTTTTGTTGTCTGTCAGAAATTAAGTGCAAAACATTGGAAGATATACAAATAAAAAGAGAGCTTTTAATATTTGGATGTAGAAGTCCAAAAAACAGTTATTTTAAAGGAAAATATGTAATTATTTTCAATATAGGCTATAGTGTCTTTAAAATAATTTTTAATATTAAGGTTTGGTAAGTGCTATTCAAATTTAATTTCTTTCAGTTTATGATTATCTTTGTGCGATTTTTCTCTAGGAATAGTGAGACAGAAAAAATAATTGTATTTTAGTAACACGTTATCATATTTTAATGTGAATTATGATTCTGTTTTAGTATTTATTGTCAGGGGAGCAATGTTTTATGTAAAATACTTGTTTTAAATTTTTTGGCAGCTGGGCATGGTGGTGTATGCCTGTAGTCCCAGCCCTCGGGAGGCTGAGACAGGAGGATCACTGTGAGTTCGAGACCAGCCTGGGCTACATAGTGAGTTCAGGTCAGTGTCAACTACATAGTGAGACCCTGTCTCAACCCCCTTATGCCCAAAAAAGAAAAAAAACAACAACCAATCCAAACAAACAAACAAAAAAATTTGTTGGCAATCATAATTGTTAGAATGCTTCTAATAATTGTGATTTATAATAATTTAGTAATTAATAATGATTATTTAATCTATTATTTCCTTTAGGTTTGTTAGATTTTCTTTGATTTTTATAATATGGGATTTTGAAAATTACTCCCAAAAGTTCTGAGGTTTGTTCACTTTAACATACATTTAAAATAATATATAGAGGGCCAGGGATTTAGCTCAGTGGCACCGTGTCTGCCTCGCAAGCACAAGGTTTTCAGTTCAATTTCTGGTACCCCAGCCAAAAAATAAGTAAAATAAAATAATATATAGAGAATCATTTTCCTTTATTTCAAAACATTTTTTATATTCTTTTTTTTGGGGGGGGGTTGTTGTTTTTTCTTTTTGGTGCTGGGATCAAATCCAGGCTTCTTTAGTGTTCTACTACTTAGCTGCATTCCCATCCCTTGAGGTTCTGTTTTGATTTCCATAATCAGTGACTTACAGGAAGGAAAAATCCTGATATCGCCTTTAAGAATTATACTATCAGAAACTACTTATTTACTTTTAGATTAAGTTAAAGATTTATGTTAAGGATAGGGAAGAATTTTATACAACCTAGAGTTTCTTACTCTTTTTTTTTCTTTTGTGGCAGCATGGATTGAACTATGGGCCTGTCATGCTGCCCAACTGTTCCCATAGGTATTTCTTTTTAGGATTTAAAATCAGATAAAAAATACAAATTGTGCTTTATCTAGAGCAGACAAATGATATCTTCACATTTTTATTTTACTATTTAAGTGTATTAAAAAGCCAGTGATGCAGTTTTTAAAAACTATATTTCCTCAGAATGTGAAATATAGTTTAACTCTAATATACCATTGTAGTCATTTATGTCATGGACTTTTCTGTTTCAGAATCCTGTTCAAAAGATTCCTGACTCTCATGAGATAACACTGAAGCATGGCACTAAAACAGTAAGTTTTAAAAACTTGTTTCTTTTCTTGTAATAATAGGGCTGTGATGGAAAACTGAACTAATGAGATACTTTTTTTATTAAGGTTAATTACAAAATCAACTGATGTCGTGATAATTTTAAACATTAAAAAGAAAATTTAATTTTTATGTTTAATGATAATAGCCCTTGTCTTTTATGTACAGTGGGAATACACTGTCAATAATATTATTGTTGGCTTTTTAAAAATCTTTCTTTAATATAGGAACTTTACAAATCAAGAGAAATAAAACTCAAATGTAGTTTTGTTTTTAATAGAGTAGGAAAATTTCTCATTACTTTTAGCTCCTTTTCTCTACTATATTTGTAAAAGACACAAGTTTCTTCATTTTACAGAAGAAAGATGAGAAAAGAAGTGATGAATTTTGGGGCTGGGGATTTTAAAGATTAAAAATTATTGATTTGAGTTTTTTTCTTTTTTGATACAGGTGTATATGCTCATACATTTCTCTCTATATACATTGCTTCAGTGTTAGTTTACTTCACTAGTAAAAAATGGCAATAGTAAAAATGGATGCTTTTGGAAATTCCACAAGAAAAATTGAAATATTACTAAGCACAAATAGGATAAGGAGTTCTTTCAGAGTTTTGGATTATAAATATTAGAAGATTAGTGTTATATAGTGAGTCAAAGATTCCTAATACTTTCTGTGAAAGCAATACTTGAACTATGGTTTTGTAACCACTTAAAACTTCAGAAATATTTAAAACATTTTGTGAAGAATTTATCAAAATAGGAGATACTCAGTTGTACTTGAAGTACTGACATAGTTAATGTGCTGTCAGACCAATTATCTAATTATGGACTACTGTCTAAAGCTTATTGAAAGAAGGAAAATATAAAAACAATTGCAATATAAAGGTCAGTATTGAAATTATGCTTTCTCAGGAACTGGAAACTCATTTTTGCATCATCTGATATTTAAACAAAAAGTTTAAAATATTTTATTTCTTGGTAAAAAAAGCCTAGTAATTATAGAATATTTTGATACTAGATTTCATTCATTTATGTAAATGAAGTTATCTGTTCAATTCTATTCTAAACAACTTTTTATTTTAGGGCAACATTTATATTATATATGTTGTTATTTTTTGGTTAAAATGAACCTGAGAATTAACTAGGCTGTGTTCTTCAACTCTTGAGAACATACAAGTTGAGAATTGGTTTAGCTAATCTTTGGAAGGGCTTTCATTCTCTAACTGGGGGAGAGTATTTTTTCCTCCCTGAGCTCTGTTTTCTGTCATATTCATTGCCTTTCACACCCTTTTCATGAATAATGTATATAAGCAATAGTAGAGACCCTGATACTTCAGAATGCTAACACTGAAAACATTGTTTTGTCATTTCACTGTAGAATTTGCCATGTTTTTTCTGCCCTTAGAAGAGCAGTTCAACTTTGAGATTTATTCTGTTGTTCTTTCTTGGGTAGAGAAGAATTATCACATATTTGTCAGACTGCATTGACATTTGTGTTATATAACATTTTAAACATTTTACTCCTCTTTCCTTGAAACATTTACTAGAGTTTCTGTTTTGTAATAGGCAATGTGCTTACCAAGACATGGTCTATGTCTAGAGCTTACACTCTTGAGGAGAGATCAGGCACTGAAGATGGGAGCCACAAATGAATTTACAATTTAAAATTGTGTTGAGTGGACCAAACACTGTTGAGATTATCCTATCAAGAGAAGGGACACCTCTTTAATTGTAATGGGAGAGAAGGAGGGTAGCATAATGAGCATGGAGGCAAATGAATTTGTTAGTGGTGATAGCAGAAGTCACTTAATTTTCTAAACTGTTGTTTATTTGTTTCTATTTTTTATTATTTTTCATTTTAAGAGGTTGTACAATCATAAAAAAGACCAGTTCTCATTTGTATGTTTTAGCATCTTTAGAGCCCGTATCTAACTTTAACATGTAATATGTTATTATTTATATATAATTTCTTTACATTCTGTAATCAGTGTTTGCAGGTCTTAATTAAGATGAACTTAAATTATTTTGTCACTCTAATTATAGTAATTGTTTTATAATAATTACATTTCAAGTCTTTGATTTATGGACATTTTGTTTATATAAAACTTTGATCCTTTTACTATCTCATATATATGGTAATCACAGTAAAAAAATGCCTAATGCAACGTTCTTTCTGAGAGGGCACTAGGTCTGGGGACTTCCTGCTTTGACAGAAGGTTAAATATAGCTCAAAAATAGTAAGTTACACATTGGTAATTCATAAGTAAATTGGAACTATGAAATTACACAAGGAAAGCAAATATTTTATAGACACTTATAAGTACTATTATAATACAGATAGTTATAAATTGAGCTTTAAAAATGTTTATAGTGAATATACTTGAATTATTTAGCTATGCACATAAGAAGTTTTACTTTGTCTTATTTTGTTAAGTAGATTTCAAAAAGTAATCATTGGTATGCTTTATTTATTTATTCATTTATTTACTTATGCTGAGAATTGACCCCAAAACTTTCTATATGCTAGGCAAAAACTCTGCCAGTCAGCTATACCCCACTAGCCCATTTTATTGATTTTTGATTCATTTGATTTGTTTCTTTTTTTTCCTTCTATGATGTTTATTCACTTGTGGTTTAATTATATTAAAACGCTTGCTCAATATTGAAAAGCTTAATTAGTTGTAAGATTAGTCCTCTTTCTTGAAACATTTACTAGTTTCTACTTACTAAAGCAGAATAATTTATTATGTCAGATTATAGTGATCGCTCTTCTGAGTACATGGTTGATAAGATGGGACAAAATATCAATTACAAATATTTATAATATAAATTAATTTAAAATATTTAAAATTTTAATTTAAAATATTTTTATTTCAAAAGAAATAATACTTCTATTAACCCAATTAAATTACATAGAAGCTGGTAACCATTCCTACTTTTCAAAATGAAAAACAGTTGATACTCTGTGCGTCTAGGGCCTTTAGATTAGGAAATGAGATTAAGAAGTGAACTTGAAGGTGATAATAGACTGTAAGTTGTCTCCCGTTTTTTCTTTTCTTTCTTTTTTTTTTTTAACAGGTGTCTGCTCTGGGTCTAGATCCCTCGGGGGCCCGTTTAGTGACTGGAGGGTATGACTATGATGTTAAGTTTTGGGATTTTGCTGGAATGGATGCATCTTTTAAGGCTTTTCGATCCCTGCAGCCCTGTGAGTGGTATGTATTCACTTACTTAACATCTTCATATTTGGAGACAGTACTTTTGTTAATTGAATTCTATCATTATTTGTACCAAAATTTAGTTTCATTAACCTATGTTTTAAAGGCATTTTTATCTTGTAGTTTTTAAAAAATGTTTCTTTAAAACTGTTCCTTGCTTCATTTATTTAAAAACCCTCTGTGCTGGCTTTTTTTTTTTTTTTTTTT